GTGATTACTTGCGGTGATGAAAAAAATTTTGAAACTAGAAAGAGGTAGTGTTTACACAACATTGTGCATGCACTAAAAGTCACTGAACTGTATACTTTATAATAGTCAATTGTATGTAATAGGAAGTTCACCTCAATTTAAAAAAAAAGTCATCATTGTCACTCCAGCTGTCTTCACGGGAATTTGAAGATGTCCAAGGCATTTTGAATGATGAGTACCTTAATGAGCTTAAGAGTAAAGGGTCCCAGTCACAGGTACAGAGACGAATGTAAGTGCAGGCAGAATTCCAAACTAAGTGAGCTCATTGTGAACTTATTATAATGAAACCAAACCAAAAACCATACTCATTGCCATCAAGTCGATTCTGACTCATAGTAACCCCCATCAGGCTTCTAAGGCTATAAATCTTTAAAGAAGCAGACTGCCTCATTTTTCTCCCATGTAACGGCTGGTGGCTTCAAACCACCAACCTTTTGTTTACAAACAAATGCCTTAGCCGCTATACCACCAGAGTTCCTTATAATGAAACTAATGAAACAACAAATGCAGTGCACTACTGTCAAGTTGAATCCAACTCATAGCGACCCCTCCTTGAGTTTCTGAGGCAGTATCGCTACAGAAGTAGATTGTCCATCCTTCCTTCTGAGGAGTGGTTTGTGGCTTTGAACCATCAGCCTTCTTGTTTGCATTCAGATGCCTTAAGCACTATGCCACCAGAGCTCCCATAATGAGACTAGACATGTACAATTAAATGTAAAGGATATGAAATAGACTAAGATTTTTTTTAATAAGACCAAAAACAATTAAAGAGCAATGTTAAATTGAAACTTATTAAAATTAAGAACTTATGTTTGCCACAAAAAGACAGCAGAGAATTAAATATCACTATACCCTTACTAGTAGCTCTGGTAGCATAGTACCTAAGGCACTTACTTGACTGCTAACCAGAAGATTGGCAGTTCAAACCCACCAGCCACTCCTTGGAAGGAAGGTTGGGCAATCTGCTTCCATAGTGATAATGCCTCGGAAACCCAAGGAGGTGTTGCTATGAGTCAGGCCGACTCGACGGCAAATAATAACAACAACAACATACCCTTACTGAAAAAACTAAACTAAACTCACTGCCATAGAGTCAGTCCCAACTCACAGTGACCCCTCCTTGGATTTCTGAGGCAGTATCTCTGGAAGTTGATTGCCCAATCTTCCTTCTGAGAAGTGCCTGGTGGGTTTGAACCACTAGCCTTCTGGGTAGAGTCAAATACTCTTACTAGAATGGCTAAAGTTAAAAAGATTCACAATACCACTCTAAGGGAGGAAGTAGAGCAAATGGAACTCTCATACATTGCTGATGGTAATGTAAATTGGTACAACCAGCTTGGAAAACTGCAGCATCTACTAAAGTTAAACATACATATACCCTATAGAGCAAACCCACCAGCCACTCCTCAGAAGGAAGGTTGGGCAATCTACTTCTGTAGTGATACCGCCTCAGAAACCCAAGGAGGGGTCGCTATGAGTCAGGTCTGACTCAACAGCACATAACAACAACACAGCAACAATGAGTACTTAAGTTCATCAAAAGACATGAACAAGAATGTTCATAGTAATAACAATAGAATGGTTAAATGAATTGTTGTTGTTGTTGTTGTTATTTGCCATCGAGTCGGCCCCAGCTCATAGCGACCCCTCCTTGGGTTTCCAAGGCAGTATCACTACGGAAGTAGGATTGCCCAACCTTCCTTCCGAAAATGAATTGTATATATTCATATAATGGAATACTTCATAGCAGTAAAAAACAATGAACTATATGCAACCTAATGTTAGGCAAAATAAACCATACACAGAAGTTCAAAAACAGGCAATGCTAATCTTGATAGAGGTCAGATTAGTGATTACTGTTGGAGAGGGGAATCAACAGGAAGATAATACTGGGGAGTGTCCTAAATTTCTGGATATGGTCTGTATCTTGTTCTTTACATTTTGACAAGCTGAATACTTAACATATGTACACTTTACAATGTTGTTGTTGTTGTTGTTATGTGCCGTCGAGTCAGCCCTGACTCATAGCGACCCCTCCTTGGGTTTCCGAGGCAGTATCACTACGGAAGTAGGATTGCCCAACCTTCCTTCCGAGGAGTGGCTGGTGGGTTTGAACCGCCAGCCTTCTGGTTAGCAGTCAAGTGCCTTAGCCACTATGCTACCAGATCAATACGTGATTTAAAAGGTAATTAGCAATTATTAACAATTAAATGTAAGTAATGTTTTAAATGTAAAGAACATAGACTACTCCCACCAGCCACTCCTTGGAAGGAAGGTAGGGCAATCTACTTCCATAGTGATACTGCATCGGAAACCCAAGGAGGGGTTGCTATGAGTCAGGTCCGACTCGACAGCACATAACAACAACAACAACAAACTTTTTAAGGTTTTGTTCTGTATATTTTCATTTCTTTCTTGGATCTTTCAAAGAAACAGAAGATGGACTGAAGGAAACTCATAGAAAGAATAAGAAAATAGGCAAGAAACAGGAGCCTTTAGGCTATGGATTGAAAGGAAGAACTGAGAAGAAATGAGATCAGATTAGTAAGGTAAATAACAAGGTGAAAACCACAAAGAAAGATATTTCTTGCACTCCACCAATGTAGCACCATACACTATACTAAAAATTTTGTATTTAGTAACCAGGTGACCGGAGTTAGCAACAACTTTTTAGAGACTAATTTGAATCCTGAAATGATTTTTTTAGAGATGCTATCATTTTTTCATCTCCCTCTGATTTCTGTGTGATAGCTTGTCCAAAGTAAGCACACTTTAAAGACTTACAGGTAACGTAAAAAGAAGACATTTATAACGACTTTAGTTTGAAAAGTATTAAATTAAGTATCAGAATATATATATTTGGCTAGTACTAAAGTTCCCTGACTAGCCCTTTGCAGCTTTAAGAAATACATTTCTTTCTTATTCACATTTTCAATCTGCATTATATCCTCAGGCTATTTTACTTCAAGTCTCCAGTCGACATTTCCTTTGTATTCATATACTGAAATGATTTTATTTAATAAAATAAAGAACATCTCCTGTGTGGATTTTAAATTTCCCTTATTAAATATTTATATTTTGAAAATGTCTTTATTTAATTGAGTGAGGTGCTTGGTGCCATTTCAAAATAACCTCAGGTGGTAGGTGTAATGACATATCAAAGATTTGACCTTTAGCATTTTAGGATTCTATTTGTCTGCATTTTCTTCTTCATTCATTTAGTCTTAATTTATATGCTATTTATACTGTATGACTTAATAAGTAGATATATTTGACATAAAATTCATTAAGAAAAATATATCTGAATGCCTGTCATTTCTGTACAGTTTTATTAGTGATTTTAACTTCACACTGTCTTAATTGTGACAAGAAAATGCTGTGAATAAGGCTGATTGGTATTTGCATGAACTTCATTCATTCTTATTAAGTACTTAGCAGAATAGACCCTAGAACTACAAAAATGATGCCCATTCTCTGACTTCTCACTATTTGCAGTCTTCTTAGTTTGTTTTATTATTTACCTAGAGGTATTTTATTTTCCAATTCTCCGTTACTCCTTTAAAGAAAACTGAACATAATATATACAGTGATATAATTTATATAACATTTCCCAGCATCTTTTTTATGCTTCCATAATAATCACTTGTCTGGGTAGCTTTCAGGAGCTCTGGTGGCATAGTGCCTAAGGCATTTGACTGCTAACCAGAAGGCTGGTGGTTCAAACCCACCAGTCGCTCCTTGGAAGGAAGATTGGGCAATCTACTTTCATAGTGATTGTTGTTGTTGTTATGTGCCGTCGAGTCAGCCCTGACTCATAGCGACCCCTCCTTGGGTTTCCAAGGCAGTATCACTACGGAAGTAGGATTG